AAGATATTGTGTCCAACTACAACTAAAAAAATTCTAAAAAAAAAGAAATTTATATAAGGGAAATGTTCATTTCACAGGCCATTTATCATAGATCCTAGAATAGAAAAAGAGTTAGCAAATGATGGGTTCAATCTCCTGCCTTAAGAGAGAGAAAGCACCATTTAGATGTTATCGTGGGGGTAGAGGGGTCAGACTACCTGTGCTTAAATCTTGACTCTTAGCCAAGTGTGAAATCTTAGACAAATCACAACAAAACCCAATATTGTGTGTACTTATATTCTTTAAACATAAAAATATAATGTCTACCTGAAATGAAATCCTGGGAAGATTTTTGTAAGATGACTTACAGAAAATGCTTTGAGTCATGCTTCTTCAATAAATGCTATTTTTATCTTCATTTTGCAAACAAAGTCACTGGATGTCAGAACATCTAAGATATTTGTTCAAAGTTGCACAGCTGATAGATTGTGGGAAAAGATCTAGCACCCAGAACTTCTGACTCTTGAAGCCTTGTGGATACAACTAAGCCTTTTGAAAGGATTTTTGTTGTTAAACATATTTCATGACTACAGTAAACATTGACAACAAGCAATGTGTTCTTACCATATCATTTCTTTTTCCTAAAGAAAAAGATACACATAAAGATGCATGAAAAGAGCTGGAAGAAGACAAATGGTGGGTGTGCGCACAGAAGGAGTTTGAGAGTATGAATGAGTTTGTTTTCTTTGTGCTCATTATCTTTTCCATGCTATCAACACCCAGAAGTTAAGGCTTTATATTCAGAAGAAAAGTTATTAAAAGATGAAAAACAACATGGACGGCAATACTGAAACCCCTACATCTCTTGAATGTGTGATTATGCCAAATCCTTACTGTATGAACAGTGCTTTGCATTTTCCAAACAATTCTAAATTAGACTCCTTCTGAGCTCCCATAGAGGATTGTCATTCTCCACCTTGCTGTCCTAAATCTTTGTTTAGGTTACACTCTATACATCTTTCTTGGGTATCTTGTATGGTGGCGCATAAAAAACTATTTGATGAATGGCATATCGACTGGGACCCAAACTTTAGAAATTGTATTAATTAAAGACCAGTCCAAATTAAAAATTACGTAGTTGCTTTATAGTATCCAATTCCATATACTAGTGAATTATTGTTAAATATTTTTGTATTCTATTTCTAATCAAAACTTTAGGCCTCCAAATATTTTCCTTCTTATATTAAGCCTATGTAAACCACACATTTAGTGATCCTATTTCCTACCCAAATAATATTCCATATTAAGACGATTTTAATAATCATCCTCTGAAAAAATGCCCTGAAGCTCTTTACATAAATTATTAAAGTAGTTTATAGTCTAAGTTTTAAGGCTTTGTCAGAAAGTTTTGAGCCTGTTTTGCTAGCACAATTATATACAGGAGTTTAAAAAGCAATGGAAAGTATGTGAACTGTTGAGCAACCTCTTTGTGTTGCCATGTATAACATACCTGCTGACTTCTGGAGGATTCTGGTGAAATCCATGAGACAGGCTTTGATCTTGCAGAGACCAAACTAGTCTGTTGTCTTTCACCAACAAGCTCCAGTTAGATAACTACCTACCAAATGCTTCCTCACATGGTCAGATTGAGAGAGTGAGAACTAGTGGTGCAAAAACAATGCATCTCACCAATTATCAATGAATTATTATATAAGCACAGAATCCAATCATCTTCTGACGGAAAGACAGTTTTGGGCACTTGAATCATAGAGACAGCATTTGGAACAGATGGCTAGAGGCCCCGGTGGACCCCTATCCTCTACATTCTTCTTTTATTTGATCACATGTCACTCTAAATAAGCATCAATGAAGTACATAAGACATTGCACAGTTTTAATCTTGCTGAAAGTGCTTAGACTTCTGGGTGACAGCCAAAAAAAATAATGACAATAATAAAAGCAGTAACAACAACTAGCATTTATTGAGGATTCACTCTATCTTGGACACTGTTATAAAAAAGCGCTTAAAATGTATTACTGTCTCTTATAAAAAATTCCTCATACAGTTTGCTGTCAGAATTAAGGGAATTAACTCAGGCAAAGTTCTTAGCACTGGGCCTTACCACTATATTGACTTACCAGTAAAAATTTGTTGTTACTGTGTTTGGTAATAACGATCACAACAGGAACAATTGCCTTCTGCTCCAAATAAAACTTTAAGAGGCTCTATTAAACTCTGGGTCCACAGATAGAGTCCCAAGGTGTTTAACATCTCCAAATCACCTACATCTACGGAGATGAGCATCTGATGGAGATTAAGAGATCAACAAATATTTATGAAAACACCCAAATTGTATAGATGTGTTTGTGAGTAGATTTCTCATGGAAGAGAGCATGTGGTTTTGTTCAGACTCTAGATGTTTCATGGTCTGAGAAGTAAAAGACCACTGCTGTAATAGAGAATGTGTCACTGGGTGAGTAAGGAAGACTAATGAGGATAATGAGGAAGTGGAGAGGAAAGATCTCAGTGGGCTGGCTCTCCACCATCAGAGGGTTAGAAAAGCCTTGTGCTGCCAGCCTCTGGGCTGGCTGTTCGGGGGCAGCCCCAGCTCCCTCCCAGCACCTTGAAGCTCCTATTTACCCTCTGGACCATTTACATAAGACTCTGAGGGATTACTGGCAATATGCACATCTAGCCTTGAATGGAGTAATTCAATGCTGGATACTCTGGTTTTGTAGGAATCATAAAAGGCTAGACCTGGAAAGAACCTCATACATAATCTATTTCAGGGTTTTCAAATTTGTAGCAGATGTGTGGCCACTCCCCTTCCTGCACCCAGGGAAGACATCCCTAATTGGGGACAGCATTCTTTACTTCTATGCTTTTTGAATTCTTCTTAATATAATATTCTATGCAACCGTTACTGATTGATTGAATTAGCACACACGAAGAAACCAGTTTTTCAGCCCTATCACATGTACAAAATCTTCATAATAAAGTTGGGAAAATAAAAAAGATGGCATTTGATATATCTGGGAATTATATGTCTGAGTACCTTGAAGTGTTTTTGAGACAATTTTGAGACAGGAAAGGATGCTGTCTTCAATCTAGGAACTGTAACTACCAAATATCATCTTTGCCCTTGCTGGGGTTTTTTTCCCTGATTTTTTTTTCCTCACAGAATAAAAAAGGAAGCCCTTCTAAGTGGTGATCATTGAACTCCTTCCCCCACACAAATCTGCAAGGCAGCTAAAAGCCCTGAATGATGAAAAGAAATTATAAATGAGGATTTTAAGTGTTGTTCTATAAGTTGTTCTATTGTATTTAATAAATAATAGGTAAGCAAAGGATTTAGCCTCCAGCCACTTTCTCTTCTCTTTCAGTATCCTTGAGAAAGAACAGTCTAAGAAAGTCCTATAATTAAATCTAGGAGTACTGGGGCTCTTAGAGCTGAGTGGGGTTCACTCAATTACCCTTTTGAGGCCTCAGTTTCCCCTACTGTAGTAGGAAGATATTGGAACTTCATAGAAATAGTTCAAAACTGGCCAAAGAAACTGGTTTCCTCACAAATGGGAGAAAAATAAACGAGTTTTCTACTCAACACATGAACAGGAACATTTATTTATTTTCCTGTGAGTATATGTATGTGTGCGTGACAGAGAGGGTTGGGGAGAGAAGCATATTTATGATGACAGTGAGGACTGGCCAGAGGGAGATATGAAATAAAGTGAATTTTCATCTTTTAAAGCTGTTGATTAAATAACATAGACTCAGCTTTGAAATAATTAAGCATCTACGATGGTTCTAGCAAATTAAAATAAAATGCTCCCTCTGCACAATGAGGGTGAATGAAGTATGAGCTTCTTTATGTACTATTCCAATTGAGTCTATGGGAGAAGTTGGAGAAAATGAGTTTTTAAGTAGAGC